TGTGTGCGTGTGTGTGTGTGTGTGTGTGTGTGTGTGTGCACGCGTGTGTGCGCCCATGCGTATGTGTGTGTTAGTGTGTTTGTGTGAGTTTACCCCCCCCTCTCTCTCTCCCCCCCCCTCTCTCTCTCTCTCTCTCTATCTATCTATCTCTCTGTCTCTCTTTGTCTCTTTCTCTGTTTCTCTGTCTCTCTCTATCTCTCTGTCTGTCTGTCTGTCTGTCTGTCTGTCTGTCTGTCTGTCTGTCTGTCTGTCTGTCTGTCTGTCTGTCTCTCTCTCTCTCTCTCTCTCTCTCTCTCTCTCTCTCTCTCTCTCTCTCTCTCTCTCTCTCTCTCTAATCGTACTTATACTTATAGGATAGCCCTCTGTGTCTGCACGCGCGCACACATGTATGTCAGACAGAGTGGACACCGAAGCGACGAGTAAGCGTTAACGACACTTCTTTTTGATGACGACAGATTTTATTTACAAAAGAAGAGTGAGATCCGCTCGAGTCAGTCTGTAGGGTGGGGTCTTCGCGGAAGCGACGCGTTTGCGACGATGGCGCATAAAAAAAGTGCCGCGAATGCACTACGAGCTGTCAAACTGCAGCTAGATCTGGGTCTAGTGTGTGTAGTTTTTAGTTTGTAACTTATATGTAAGATCATTTTAACAACGACAGGTGCGAAATGGACACAGAAATCAGTAACTCAACTGTGTTGTTCTATTTGATTGTACTGTTGGGCACAGGCTTTTCCTGCAAGAATTAAAATGTTGATGTTTTGATTGTGATGTAACGGATGCACCAGTTTCTTCATCTTGTACAATGATAGTACATAACAAGATGGGCCACTTCTCTCTTTGAGCCAATTAAAAAAGTGTCCTCAAAATTTGGTGGCGCCCTCTTCACAAAAGCGCACTCTTTGCGAACAGAGTTACCCTACTTGAGTTTTTTTTAATCAAAGTGAAACTAGCATGTTTTGGGATAAAATTCGGAAGAACGCTTTTTTAAAATGGTTACGCTGACAAAAAACCTCTTCCGGAGGAAAGGGTGATGGTTTTCTTCGTTTAATTTGACTTTAGAATGAAAGGCGAGAGGTCATTAAAATATAAAAAAAAACCTAAAA